TTTGGCAAAATTTTCTATACTTTTTCGTATTTCATTTACAAATCACGTTAGAAAATAATTTAAATGTAATGTGTAATGCCCTCGCCGCGACTCGAACCTCTGAAATACGAGGCAAGTGTGCTGACCATTACACCACGAAGGCGGGAGAAATACCTTATATACTCCACATTTTTAAAGGGCAACTCGGGATTAGGACTGCAGAATCATCATCCACCACCTTTTTAGGTTCGGGGGCCACTATAGGGGCATTAAGTTATTTTGGAAGCAGAAGACGTCAAAAATGAGCAATGCTCTCGCCGGGACTTAAATACGCAACTTTCTTTGTAAAAAAGAATGTTAAACTGTCTATCTAACGGAGTTACTGTGTAGACACATGAGGTTATTTCGAAGCATTAGACATTAAAAATGAGCAATGCCCTCGCCGGGATTCGAAGCACGGACCTCTCGAATACGGGAAGAGTGTGCTGACCATTACACCACGAAGGCATGCTAAGAAGGCGGGAGAAATACCTTATATACTCCCCCCTTTTAAAAAGCGACTGGGGATTAGGGGACCCAATCACCTTTTTTAGTTCGGGCGCCACAGTTGAGACACTAGGATATTTGGAAGCAGAAGAAGTGACAAATGAGCAATGCTCTCGCCGGGACTCGAACCTGGGACCTGTCGAACACGCGCCGCCGAGTGTGCAGACCACTACACAAAGAAGACACGATAAGAAGGCGGGAAAAGTACCTTACAAATGCACAAATGTATTTTTCAAATTTTGGAAAGGAGTAATAATGAAGGGATGCATGGAGGAAAAGAGTCGAGAACCACTGTCATAGACTTCTACATCCTGTAAGGTCTCGCATTAATGCCGTTAATTCTATTTCCTTTATTTTTTTCGGGGGTTCATTCCGTTAAACTTAACGTTAAATTAACTTTCCCTGTCCATATAGAGTACATGCAAAGTAAACGAATATACAGGCAAGACAGCGAAAGCTTTGCAAAAAACGTATGGGACTCTTCTAGTAGTTGGAAGAGTCATAACCAAGCGTAGCAGACTTGTTTATCTTTTGAGACAATGCCAAAATTTATTTAGTCATTAGGCCTAATGCTACTACTAATTGCAGAAAACAACTGAGAATTTTCAAAAGATTTTGAGTTTTTTAGGTACATTTTTTTTGTAAATTTATAAGGTATTTCTCCCGCCTTATCAGCATGCCTTCGTAGTGTAGTGGTCAGCATGCTGGGTGCATATTCCAGAGGTACGTGGTTCGATTCCCGGCGAAGGTGTTGCTCATTTTTTATCTTTCATGCTTCCAAAAAATACTTAATGTCCCTACAAATTCATTAGTCCTGAATTATAAGAAATTTGACGAGAACAGTCAAGCAACGAGGAAAACTGTTGGGATCACTAAAGATGAAAAAAAGATATTAGTGAAAAGTAAGAAGATGGTATGCGTATCTTGGACTTGTCTATTGCATACCGTATGCCGAGTGTGCCGGTGTCTACGATTGTGAAAAACAAAAACATTAAATGGGCAAATGTTACTGTTATTACTGTTAACGCTACTGTGTACTTACTGTTATTTTTTGAAAAGCCATTCTATCAATACTAATTTGTTTACAGTTTATAAGTGCTTATTTGGATTTTTCAAATTAATTTTTGCTAATGATATTTACATTATAATATAACAATTTTGTATATTTAAATAGCTTGAATTTTCCTCTTGCAAACCATATAAGTTTTATATTGGTTTACATAAATGTGTGTTAGCTATATTTAAATAAATATGTTTGAAATTTTATTCATATTTATTTTGAATTTAATAGAACGATACTGTTGATTATATTCATTAATAGCACATGAAATAGCGCATGTAATATTTTAGTCAATAAATATTGTAATATTTTATTTAATTATTTTAATATTCAAATACTTTGCTTTTTGATATTAACATAAGTAGCATTAAATTACTAAACTCCTTAAATTTAATCTCTACATATAAAAAAAGAGTTTGTGTATCTTTAGTTCGTGCTGCGCGTAAGCTAATAGACCCAGAGCTGCGAAATGTGGTACACACAGGTGCATCTAGACAAGAGCCACTGCACCTCGAAGCGATTTTTTAAAAATTCGAACCAGATTTTTTTATTTTATCTTTTCGATTTTATCGTATCATTTTCAATAGTTTCATACTTTTAGAAATATGGTTTTAGCAACAGTTTTTCATTCAATTGTATACTGGGCTGTTGAAAATCAGAACTGTTGCCACTAGGAAAAATGAGGGCGATCATTCTGTGCAGATTTTAAATTGAATGTTTCTCTTGAATACTAGAAGTTTGTTGAGAGAAGGCAACGGGAAGTTGGTTAATTTATTTATTAGGTTTGGTTTGGTTTGGTTTATTGAGATTACGGCAAAGCACACTAGGGTTATCTGCCTAAGGGAAAGGATGCCTTCGTGGAGAACTTTCTAGAGAAAATGGCTCGTATACACGTTACATATGGGTAAAACCACGAAAACGCCGATGCAGCCAGCCCGTTCGCGGGATTCGAACCTCGGACCGAACTACCAGTATTCAGCGACTTTACCGCTCGGCCGCTATTTATTAGGTGGGCCTTTATTTATTAGGATAATTAATATTTGTATTAAGATATATTGCTTATTTCATTGCAATTTCGTTATATGTAATACTTTTTTTTATTCCAACGCGCTTTGTCCGTGAAGAACTATTGTTTATGTTTTTGCGATTTTGCGTTGGTTCACTATAAAACAGTGCTCCGCAACCGGTGTGCCATGAGTAGCATATAGGTGTGCCGCAATCAAATACATGTATTTGACATTTTGCAATTTTTTATCATGTATTTAATACACAATGACAATTTTTTTTCCTTAATAATGTCTATTTTAAATGTTTTTATATATTTCACTGTTGTGTGGTTGTGTGTGTGATTGTAAGTGTGTCAGCATTTTAATTTTTTCGGCACTTCCTTGATAACTCGGAACTCTTTGGTGTGCCACGAAATTCCAGAAAGATTTTTTGTGCGTCGCAGGTGAGAAAAGGTTGCGGAGCACTGCTATAAATGTCCGTTTCATTCAATGTCCGTTTAATCACTAATTTCGTTTTGGCATTTCGCGTTGAAAACTTTAAATCTCGGTTAACTTTTCAAGCTGTTGCCACCAAATATTACAGCCTGTATTATATTTAAAGAAATTAAATAATGAAGAATCTGCATAAAGGTATGTATGTTTCTCGCATTGCGATAAAACAACGGTACCTAGACTATCCAATTTTGAATGACATCATCCTACTGCAGATAGGGGCATCTGGAAGCCCTAATTTGAAATTTGGAATTACCGATTTCATATTTTTTAACTCTTAACGAATTTTTAATTCGAATTAAAAAACGTAACCATTTCAAAGCGAGCAATGGCAATACTCAACGGAAAGATAAAAACATTTTCATCTCCAGTGCGCGAGACTGTGTACCGGAAATTCTAAAGATATGCTCTTTTTATTACTTTCTTGTACGAAGTAAAAAAGAAGTATTGTAATCGCGAAAAGTTTCAGGTAGCATATTTCACGAAAATATCCATTTTGACCGCTATCGAATGCAATTTAACCACGTTTTTGCGTGACATCTGTAAGTAAGGACAGAAAAAAAGACTCGTTTCCTTCAAAAAAAAAAAAAATTATAAACCTGCTTTAAAATGAATTCTGAAGAGAATTAGCAACAATTTAAAAGCTGTTTAAGTGCGGTTTAGCCTAATTTTTAAATAACATGGCGGACATATTTATTTACATTTGAAACAGCAGAATAGTAATACAGAATAGTCAAACAACAGAATCAGCAGAACAGCAGAATAGTCAAACAACAAAAATCTACATTATATTTTCTGTGAAAATTTTGAAAATATAAAGCTGATTTTTGTTGTTTGACTTCTGAATTATTATTTGTTCGGCGTGTTATTGTGTCTTAATTAGCAGAATAGTATATTTGTTGCCAATCTAGAAAGACTAAGCTTCGCAACAACAAAGATAATGCCTTATTATTTCGAATTAAATCATGCTTAATCCTTTTTGGAATTTTTCAAAGACAATAAGTGTTTAAGATTTACTTCAAAATTTTTAATATAGATATTTTGAGTTTTTATGTATTTTTGCCTTGTAGCGAAGTGAGAACTGAAATAATTGAATGAGAAATACTGAATCGTCTATGAAAAACTATTTCTTTTTGGTTTTGTTTGCTTAATTTCTTTTATACATCGTTCTAGATTTATTATGGTATTTGAATAGAACATGTGGCAACGATTAGATAATTCTTCAAATGATATAAATGTTTTGCATTCTGAGTTATAATATGAATGAAATATAATACTGTTAAGTGAACCTAGTGCCAGAGTGTCGCTATGATAAACAAATATAGCGAATTTTAAAGAGTGCATTTACTATATTGCGGCTTATGCGCTATCAACGAAGTAGATTCAATTCAATCCAATAAATCTAAATGAAATGCAAGAAAAAATGCGTATAATTTAATATTCCGTACAAGGAAGTCATGTGGTGTACACATCAGATTTTATTATTTTGTGATATTGCTGTTGGATTGATTTTTATGTTTTAAGTTCGAAGAACATGATATTTAACAAATAAAGGTAACACACAAAACGTTTGAAAAACGCCCCTTTGGGAGCAATGTAAAATTTGAAAGATTTCGTATTTTTTTATTATTATTTTAATTTTATTTTGTTTAAAAATTTCTATCAGGCAGGGGCGCTGTAGTCTGAATTCCATCCCCACCTGCAAAAAAAAAAAAAAAAAAAAAAAAAAAAAAAAAAAAACAAAAGCGGCATATAAAAAAAATATGTTCATGAACCAGCTCACATGATAGTTAAAAGTACTGCCCATTTTTATCTTAGAGAGTATCACTGTAGCGTAAGTCTTGAAATACAGAAAAAAGCGATTTAAAATCTTCTAAAGTTAAGCATACAAATTTCTTTTATTTTTTATATTTCAGATGTTCTTCTGTTCAACGTATTGGATGCTGTTTGCTCTATTCGAAGCTCTGGTTTCCTGTGAGTTTCCCATTTTCTCTGTTTTTAAGGATGTATATAATTTCGTATGTGTACTTTCTTATCTAAAGTAGATTATTTACTAATTTTATTTATTTTATACTGCAAGTGTTATTGATTATTGACGTATTTAGTGTCGAAACATTTCAGCAAATCATTCGGAAATGTTTTATATGACCTGTCAATTAAATTATTTGACTAATCTTGTAAAGAAACAAAAACAGAAAGAAGAAAAGAAGAAAAAAATCTGAAAGGATTCACATTTTAACGATCGCCCAAAAGGGCTCTTTTAAAGCTTAATATGGTTTATCAGTAAAAACTGTCAGCTGAAATAGCAAAACATTTTGAAAGATATTAGATGAATATGCATTTAGACTAACATGGTAGAATATTATACATCGTCTGTGTATTTAAGAAATTTTAGAGACATTAAGATTATTTTGAAAGCATGAAAGATAAAAAATGAGCAATGCCCTTGCCGGGCCTCGAACCACGGACCTTTCGAATACGCGTCGAGTGTGCTGACCACAACACCACGAAGGCGTGCTAAGAAGGTGAGAGAAATACCTTATATTACCTTTTAAAGGGCGACTAGGGATTAGGGGACACAGTCGCCAAATCCTGGTGGTGGAGATACATCTTCCTCCACCTTTTTTAGTTCAGGCGCCACTGTAGAGACATTAGGTATTTTTAAAGCAGGAGAGTTGAAAAATGAGCAATAACGTCGCCGGGACTCGAACCACGGACGTCTAGAATACATGCCGAGCGTTCTGACCATTACACCACGAAGGCATGCTAAGAAGGCGGGAAAATACCTTATACAGTGAAAATATATGTCAAAAAATACTGAGTGTTTTTAAAATAATGCATTTTTATTTAAATCAGTCAAATTAAAAAGTAAAAAATAATAATATTTTTAAGACATGCATATTAAATACTTTAGTTTGTTAACGAATAAAAGATAGATTAAATATGAAAGAAAATTATCATACATCTTGCCGAATGGCAACAGACTCGAATGAAAAGTGAAACAAACGGTTATCGCAATTCGAAACAAATCTACCTTTGGAGTTTAATAATAAATTTAAAAATTCGTAATAATTATTTAACAGATACAGCTGCACGCCACAGACTTCCGGCGTTTCTTTAAAAAATAAGTGCAGGTAAGCAAAAAGAAAGATGCCCATATTCGGTGGAAGATTTCGTTATTCAAAATTGGATGGCTCTAGGTACCGTTGTTTTACCCCAATGCGAGAAACATACATACATTTATGCAGATTCTTCATTATTTAATTTCTTCAAATATAATAAAGGTGATAGTATTTTGGTGGTAACAGTTTGAAATGTGAAACGGATATTTAAAGTTAACCAACACAAAATCATAAAACGAAAACAATAGTCCTTCAAGGACAAAGCCCCTTTGGGGGAAAAAAAAGAAAAAAAAAAAAAAACTGAAAGGTTTTCAGATTTTAAATTACGTTCAGAGGGCCGTTTTCTTTTAACACTTCGTGTGTTACCTGCATTTATTAAATATCACGCTCTTCGCACTTAAATCATAAAATTCAGTTCAAGAGCAATAACGCAAAATAATTTTAAATTGACCATATCTTTAGAATTTCCGATACACAGTTCCGCACGCTGGAGATAAAAAGGGTGTTGCCATTGCTCGCTCTGAAATCATTGAGTTTGTTAATCAAAAATTCGTTAAACATTTACAAAATATGAAATCGATAATAAAACAAATTCCAAATTTCAAATTTGGGCTATTCGCAGCAGAATTACGTCATTCAAAATTCGATGGCTCTATGTACCGTTGTTTTATCCCAATGCGAGAAACATACCTACATTTATGCAGATTCTTCATTAATTTAATTTGTTCAAATATAAAACAGAGTGATAACATTGGGTGTCACTAGTTTGGAAAGTGAAACGGACATTCAGAATGATTCGACGCAAAATCGTAAAACGAAATCAATAGTCCCTCAGGGACAAAGGCCCTTTGGGCTAAAAATGAATTCGTTGAATTTCCTTTTCAGTTGTAGCATCATTTTTTTAATTGCAGTTCCTCCAGAGAGAGAGGTGATCAACAAGGAACGAGCTTCAGGTGCATACCGTCTGTCCGCCTACTACTGTGCCAAGATGGCCGGCGAATTGCCTCTCATGATCACACTGCCTACTGTCTTCCATGCCATTTCCTACCCACTACTGGGATTCACGGCTTCGTACACATTCCTCGCCCTATGGGGTTTCTTATTGCTCAGCACAGTCGTAGCACAAGTAAGTTAATAATTAAGATCTGAGTTGTGTGCAGGACTTGATGATTTTCACACGGGAAAATGGGCCATCCACTTTTAAGGGGGGCTCGGCGTTTGTTTCACACGAACAACTGTTTCGGACAATTTTTCTGCCTGGTTTACTATTGAAAGAAAGACGTTCCACTTTTTCCTACCTTTCCAAAGAAATTGCAAGTTGCTCGTTTTCAACTAATCAGCTATCAGTTTGTTTGTAATGGGCAACCAATTTCCCGTGTTAACCCCAAAGAGATATATGGTGATTGGCTGTTGTCACAAAGCAGAAACAATGTCCCAAACAGTTGTTCATCCGAAACAAATCGACGTGTGATAACAGCCTAAATCTTCCTATAATTAAGATACAATAACACTGGCAAGGAATCCTGTAAATACCCCAGGAATTCATATCCGGAATGAGGGTCCTTGAGTATGGAACTCGGAATTTTATTGACGGAAGAATAAACGATCCGAAAGTTAAATTTCTGTAAAATACGTGCAACTTTATAGCTAATTGATGGAAAGAAGGGAATGTTAACAGAATTCTTATAATCTCTTAAAACATAAGAATATGCCTTTTGGTGTGTTAAGGTGAGAATTTTTTAACTGCTTGATTAATAATGGTGGGTGAAAAGCCCCTGTTAATAGCTACTGCTTTTAAATAATTTAGTTCTTCATCAAGGGCTAGTTTGGAGGAGAAAAACTTGAAAAGCACGGAAAACATAGGAATAAATGAAGCTAACTTTTGTTTTAGTCGGATGACATGATTTAAAGTGTGGTGGAAGGCAAACCGATGAAGGTTTACGGTAAACTGTAGTACTGAAGTTGGATGTGTTACGTGAGAATATCGAGAAACGGAAGAGAATTGCAAGTCTCAAGTTCAAAAGTGAACTGAACAGCAGGATCAGTGGAATTCATTGTTGGAAGAACTTTTTTTAAATCATCTTTATTACCTTCAAACAGGCTAAAAGTATCGTCTACTTAGCGGAACCATAACGGGAAGCATATTTCACAAGTGCACATCAGCGTAGCCACTGAGGGAGGGGTTTCCAAAATGGACCAATGAGCTGCTATTGCTCTTGTGACGCTAGATCTTTGTGCAAGTGAGCTTATGTTGTTTACGTTTTAATTTGTATTTGTTTCGGAATTATAAATATATGGCGTAATAGTAGAAAATCTAGTAGTGCTTTCGTCTTCTGAGTTTGATTAATCGTTGACATTTCACTTTCGACATTTTTTTCACGCATTAATAGTAAGATTGATGTTCACGGCATATTATGTGCATCAAGAGAATTCAGGTGTATATTTTTCTAATTGAGCTGAGAATGACTGAAAGTGTTACAATGAATCTAGTGTTTTCTTATTTCGGTGCTTGCATTCTTTTGATTTTTAAAGTGCAAGATTCAGAACACATATGATTTGATTATATCCATTGTTAACATTAAAAATTATATGTGAATAAATTGAATATACTCGTTGTGAATACATAAATTCACTCTTTTTGATGAATATTTCTTGTGTAGGCAGTACATTTAAGAGTGAGCATTTTTAAATGCGAAATTTAACGCACTAAATGTATACGAATGCAAATTAGTAAGGTCACTTGAATAAAATTCTGCATTGGTTTATTATTATAGAACATCTTTTTCATATCGACGCAATAAAAAGTGCTACTACTTCCATTTACATATATATTTGGTGTAAATATTTTTCTCATGCACATAGTTTATGTAAAGATTGCATTTTTAGTTTATCACACATTTCTTTCATCATTTTTATTTACCACTTATTAGTAATATTTCACATTGAAATTTATGCGAAGTATCCAACATGTGTTTGTATTATTTCAAACAGGTAATGAAATCTTCATAATTGCCTATATTTGATTTAAAAACTTCGCAATGAAAGTTTCAGAAGCAATCGACTAATTATTTTTGTACAGAAAATTGTGTGGCAGAATATTTTAACCATCTCTTCCTTAAATCTAAAAAGAAATTTAAATCTTAAGGTATGTGAATATTGAATATTACTGGATGCTCATTGGTCCACTCTTGAAGCCAATCCCTCGGTAGCTACACAGATGTGCACTTGAAATATGCTAACGGGAAGTTTAACAGTTTGAAACCTATAATATTTAATATTTAAAACATATATAATATAACATTTAAAAATTAAGTTGATCCTCTGAACTTTCGCTAACTAGATTTTCCCAAACCACCACCAGAAAGATCCATTTTCTTGATTTTAATGTTGTAATTTGTCGATGTGCTTTTAATACATCGCCTTAATTTCTTGCACATAATTCAAGATGCGCCTACACTGGGGAAAGAAAACGAGACAGTTCTGTATCTCCCGTTCTACTGGACCGATTGACAAAATTAAACTTGCGTCTTTCATGTCTCGAAAGCTCGACTTAGGATAGCATTGCTCTAACGTTTTTTGAAATGACATGTCAATATTTCTCTTATCTCGATTCTACGACTCAAATTTTACCTAGATACTAAATTTTGTAATTTTTGGTGAGAAATTTATGGAGAAATTAAAAAATTTATCTTGGCGTATTTTTTCAGTTTGAGCGAAGAATAATTCACATGGCGAACTTCTTAATTTATGGCAACCTATTTTCTTTTCCTTTTCATTGTCTACGAGCGAAAAAAAAGTCATCGTCCTACATTCATATAATTTTAACAAAGAGCGTAAACCACATTTTTGTTTTTACGGCTTATAATAATAAGTATACCAAATTTCAAAACGCGCCAATATGTAAATTCACGTACATCACAGAAAATTTTAAATAAAAAACTCTAATTTTTTGCTGGTATTTTAGAAATACATCTACTTTAAGATGAGGGCAAAACTTTTACAGGTTATAATTCAAAACTGTTTTCAAAAATTTATTTAAAATACAAATTTAAAAATAATTCATTAAAAATGGGTGAATTTTATTTGGAATGAACCTAAATTTTGAAATGTGAAAGGAAGAATAAAAAAGTTTAAAGAAAAAGAGATATTAATAAATATACATCAAATTCAATTAACATCAAGGAGCTAAAATTTTGAGAGCCAATTTCTAAACTACTCGTGCGATTTTTGAAAAATTTGGCAATCTGTCATAATTTGAGTTGTAGAAAGGAACTATGGAAAAAAATTGGCATGTCATTTCACAAAAAATCGGATTTTGTGTCCAAATAACTAACTATATTAGAGCAATGCTAATACATATCCTAAGTCACGCTTTCCAGACCTGAAAAACGCAATTTGAATTTCGTCAATCGGCACAGTAGAACGGGAGATCTAGAACAGTAGAAGTTCGCCACGTGAATTATTCGCGGTGCAATCTGATAAAATTGCGCCAAGATAAATTTTTAAATTACTCCGTGAATTTCGCACCAAATTTTACAAAATTTAATATCTAGGCATAAGTTGAATCGTAGAATCGAAATCTGGAAAAAAATTGGTATGTTATTTCAGAAAAAGTCTGATTTTGTGTCATAATACCTATGTTAGAACAATGCTATATATAAATCTAATACACATCCTAAGTCGCGCTTTCGAGACATGAAAAACGTAATTTGAATTTCGTCAATCGGCCCAGTAGAACGGGAGATATAGAACTACCCATTCTTTTTTTTGCCCAGTGTACATGTATTGAATATTACTTTGTTTCTTTGGCATTTTTTATGAACTACAATGACGCACCATATTCCTTATGACGTGTAATATGCTATTATACGAATTTTCAAATGATGTCAGAAGTAAAATAATACGTTACTCTCAATCTAACTTAACTGGCATCGGGTACTTCCGTTAGTTTGTCAATAAATAACAGTTTTTTGCCTTATTTCCAGAGCGTGGGGCTTTTCGTTGGAGCTTCATGCCATGATCTGCAGATGTCCGTCACCATCTCTTCGCTTTATTCTCTTTCAACCATGCTGTTCGGCGGCTACTACGCATCAACCATACCCTTCTGGCTGTCCTGGCTGCGGTATTTGTCTGTTGTTCATTACACCTTTCACGCTATGCAGATAGTGGAGTTCGAAGGCGGAATTCCCATTCCGTAAGTCCCCTTTATTTATTATTGTATATTTAAGTTGATTCGTGTAGTCGCTTAGCTAGAAATTTCGCTGCCCGGGGCGGCTGCTGAATTTGCCGTTTGGGGAGCGTAGGTAGAGAGGCGTTCCGCCCTGGGCAACACATAATTCGGAGGGTTAGTTTCGCGCGAAACATTAATTTACACGGCTTAGTGGGTATAGGACTTTTCGCCGTCGCCATTTCACTGTGGCCGTTTCGCCGTCAAGACTTATTTTTCTTTCCATGACTGTATTATATCTTGCCATATCAACTCGCATTAAATTTATTTAGTTTAATAATTCTGTTTACCTTTTGTATGCTTAATAAAGGTTGCTTTTAATATACAAGGTGTTTATAAAGTCCCGGACCCATTTTGATGTTTAATAACTCATAAAATAATGTAGATTTAAACAATTTTATGGCATTTATTGATGGAATAACTTATATATTTTCCTTTTCAGGTTTGAATATCTTTACTTTTGTAAATATCGTGTGCGCGTGTGTTTAATTTCACATAATTTCATTTTCCAGTCTAAATATCTATACTTTTCTAAATATCGTCTGCTTATTAATTGCATTTTTCTCTCTTTTGTTTTTGGAAACTATTGCAATGTTATGTTTACTTTTGATGCGCATATGGAGATTTGAAAACCCCTATGAATACCCATGGAGGTAGGAAGTAAAATGGAGTCGCACTAACACTTTCTTCCTCCGTACCCTGCTCTGAGCACACCGGCGATCCCTACGTGGTGACCAAACATTGGGTCATTTACCATTGAGTTCTATGGGATTTGACGCGTTCGGATGTAAATATTTTGTAATTACGTCGCGTAAATATACATATAAATGTATATATTTTTCTTTTTCTACAACACTTCAGAGTCCTAAGTATGTGAAAAAACATATTTTTAAACAACACATTTCATTCTGAACGGAATTAAATGCTATACTTTTCACAGGACAGTTTTCCTCAGAATGGTTTAATTTGAATGAATAAATTTTCACAAGTTTTCGTTAATTACATTAGAAAAAAAAATTAAGGTAATTCGATTTTATTTTATTCGGTTAAGGTACAAAAATTAAGATCAAAGTTTATTGTATTATTAATATTAAAATTATGCATTATTTCTTTTCTATTTTATAGAGCTTCTTCCTAAAATACTTTCTTAATATGACATGATTTTTTGGCTTCTTTTAAATCGAAAAATGTAAGTCAATTTATAATTAATGCTCTATTCGGTTCATTTTAAATTAGAGAATTATTAGGAATTAGCGAAATACTTTAAATAAGTATTTCGCTAATTCCTAATAATAAATAGGTATTAATAGTATTGACTTTCTCTGAACATTTCTGAAGGGAATAAATAAATTTTTTTTTTTTTTTTTTTTTTTTTTTTTTTTTTTTTTTTTTTTTTTTTTAAAGTATTATTTAAAACTTGTAACTGAGTTATTATAAAATGTAAGGGGAATAATTCTTTTAATTATACTTATCAGATTTTTTTTTTTTTACCCTTCATTTCAACAATACATATTCCAAAACTCTTTATTACGTTCTTAAGTGCGCATCTCATAGCATTTGCTTTACAATACCTTTTAACAGATTGCTTTCCAATACGAACAATTCTTGCTTAAATAGTTTTTATAACGTATTTGTCAACAGGATTTCAATTTATGTTTACAATTCAATATTAAGGTTATTATATATTTAGATAACATTTATAATCATTATAAATTAGATACATTTAATCATTAGATTTCTTCACAGTACTTTCACAGTTGTTTATAAGTGAATAAATTCTTCATTTCAAATACATTTATAAATAATTTAATGAATATTTAAGTATTTTGTCAAAGGCAGATATATGCTTTTTGCAAGCACATGCATAAATACCCATACATATTTCCTATTTTCATTTCCGGCATGTGCAAATCTTTAACTTCTGTGCATTCACTATATTTTTCGTGTAAAGTAATTTATTTACACTAATTTAGCAATACACCCGAAAGTTTTACATAAAAAATATATATGAATATAATTTGAATGAAAATTATAAGTATTATTTTTAATACCCACTCAAAGGTCATTTTTTCTTCTTCAAAATTCCTCCACGATGGCATCTCTCTCTTTAGGCAGATAGCCCTTGCATGCGTTACTCTATTTAATAAAAACTTAATCTGACCTATGTGCCTAATTACAAATATTTTAACATACATAATTTTATATTACATTTAGCCATCAAGTTTCAAACTTTTCAAATCTTCTAGAAAATAAATTTTGGCAGATCTTTTTAGCAATTTTCTTAAAATCTATATTTTTGTAGTGCAACAGCTTAGAATTTTATAAAACAAATTCATAATCAAAATCGCTGTTGTTAGTTATCGAAAAATAACCAAGATGTGATTTTTGCGTAAATGTCAGTAAACTATATAAATTGCTATTATCCATCACACTATGAATGTTTCTTTCATGCGAGAGTGTCCCTTTTTCGATTTCTATGGAACTGTCGTGTGTCGAAATACTATCAGAATCTTGTCAAGCAAGCTTCTGGATGCAAACAAAGAACACCCTCTCTGGTGACCCAAGCTTCAAAGCAGTGCTTCACTTCTAGCGCGGAATGGCCCCTCCTCCCTTTCCTACCTCCATGTGAATACCGTGAGGTACAAAGGGATTCCCCAAAGGTTAATGTGTGGTGTGGACTAATGCACGAACGAGCCATTGGGCCTTTCTTTTTCACAGAAAAGACGGTCTCATCAGTCGTATACTTACACATGTTGGAAAACTTCGTATTTCCACAACCAGAAGAGCTTCAGCCACATGTCTTTTTTGCAACAATGGTTCCCACCTCTTGGGGTACCATCGTTTCGTATTTCTTTAAATGACAATTTACAGAAGATGGATTGGGCGAGGGGGGTCCATTCCTTGGCCACCCAGACACCTGATAATAACGCCGCTGGACTTTTTCCTTTGGAGATTTGTAAAGGACAACGTTACAGGAGGAGAGTGGTCGAACAATCGATGACCTCAAAGCCAGATGACAACCGCAATAGCCTCTGTGGATGCCGACATGCTTGCCGGTAACCTGGCGGAAATTAATACTGATTGATATTCTCCGTGCGACGGAGGGGGTACTCGTGCAAGTTCATTGACAAGGGTCATGAACTTTTTGAGTCTATCTAACCATTTATGTTTATTTTAATCTATCTATATTATTTTAATGAGTTATTAAACATCAAATAGGTCCGGACTTTATAAACAACCCTGTATATACTATTGTATGCCCACTGCAATAAAAAGCGAAGTATTAAACTAGATATACTAGCAGTCCCACATAAAAAATTACAATGTTCTATAACTAAAAATTTTTGATTTATATGAAATACATACATCTATCTTTTTTATTTTATGAGTTATTAAACATCAAAATGGATCCGGCACTTTATAAACACCCTATATATAGTTATTCACAAGTATGAGACAAAGAAATTACGTATAGGTAATTGGAAAATTATGTCAGTATCAAAGAGAACTGGGGTTAAACTTCTGTTATAACGGAAGTTATATTATCGATTTTAGAACTATGCGGAGACAATATTTACATCATTCGTCAAAATTTTTTGAAATTTTAATCGGCTAGTTCAAAGAAATCACTCGTACAAGCTGGAAATTCACATTTTTATGAAAAACGAAATTACTTTGGAATCTTGTCAGCACCTTACTCTCTTAAAATTAATATTTCATGTGTAACGGTTTATTTGTATAAAATTGCGCACAAAACATTTTAGATATTATTAATCCAAAGAGGCTTACTCCCTGACGGACTATTGTTTTCGTTTTGCGATTTTCCGTCGAATCACTCTGAATGTCCGTTTCACTTTTCAAACGGTTGTCACAAAATATTTTCGCTCTGTATTATATTTGACGAAATTTGATAATGATTAATCTGCATAAATGTATATATGTTTCTCGCATTGTGATAAAACGACGGTACCTACAGCCATCCAAGTTTGAATGACGTAATTCTACAGCGAATATGGGCGTCTGGAAGCCCAAATTTGGAATTTGTTTCATTATCGATGTCATATTTTGTATAACTTTAACGAATTTTTGATTAACAAACTCGAAGATTTCAAAGCCAGCAGTGGCAACGTTGTACAGAAGAAAACATTTTTATCTCCAGTGCGCGAGACTGTGTATCGAAAATTCTAAAGATAGGCTCAATTTAAAATTATTTTGCGATGTTGCTCTTGAACTGAAATTTATGCTTTAAGTGCGAAGAACATGGTATTTAATAAAGGAAGGTACCGCACAAAATGTTAAAAAAAGCCCCTTTGGACGTAATTTAAAATCTGAAACCTTTAATATTTTTTTATATGAAATGCTTATTAAATTATATTAAATTATTAAACTAAACAGAGTTATTTATTAATTTATAATCAACTTAATATAATACGATAAGATATAATACAGTCGTGTAAAAAAAATATGTCTTGACGGAGAATAGTTCCATTCCTGGGGTTTGCCATGTGGATCGTCGAGGGTGGTAAAGAATAATGAGATTCTTAATCGAGATACACAATGAAATGGAGAAGAACATTAGTTTTCACTCTAGATAACGCACTCAAACAAATCATGATAAAATTTCTTGTTTATTATTCAATCGAAACTTCTGAATGAAGATAACGAATATTAGCTAAATTATGATCATTGTAACATTAAGAAAGAATAATTTCTCTTTAAGAAAAAATATTTCAGAGTTTTCTTCCATTAATGCTAAAGAAAACGAAACACTAATGTAGAAAGCCACTCCTTTTCAATTACTGTTGCCGTTACGTACACAGAGGTTTCTTAAAAGTGAAATATAAATCTGTAATTCTTAAATAGACTGCCCTCCAGCAGGTTTTTCAAAGTTCACCATTACAAAAATGTCAGTAACGTTTAAATTCACGGTTCATATGCATGACAGTAACGAAGTTTAAGAAAATATATGCAAAAACTATAGCTACCACTTTTATTTAATGGAAATGAATACTTATATAGGAGTTGGAGAAAAAATGCAAAAATTGTAAATTTGCTCACGACTGTTGATCTTCAGTTGTTATGAGTTTCGTAGACAATATCCAGGCAGAGTCGTAGCTAGGGTTTTCAGCGCCCAGGGGCAACTGAAGATTTCGCACCTCCTACTGCTTGCCAACAGAATTAAAAACTATTAAATGTTTTCCATTCATAGGATACGTATTTGTGATTCATAGGATATGTATTTGTGATAACGTATTTGTGATTTCCATTTAGATTTGATATAAATATTAATTGAAATATGGAAAATGAAATAAATATTAATTAAGAGATTTCTACAACTGCTTAATAAGTAGGTTTGCTTTATCAAAAAACAAAACAACATTGCATCGCCACGTCTGCAAGTTTCTCTTCTCCATTATGCATCTATGCCAAGTTAATACAAGGATTGTCATTTTAACGAATTCTAACCACATAGTAAAAACAACTATCTTAAGTCCCAATTAAGATTGATAATTAATTTTTTTATATGTAATACATTTTTATTGAAATTTGTGAGGTTTATATATATATATATTGATAAAGCTATTCTGCAGAGTAAAATTCTGTGCAGTTTTTAAATTTAATGTCTGGTGTTCCTTTTAGGCATTTTCCCGGTACATTTAAAAGCCAGACGAAGGCTGGCTGCGTAGCGGCTAGTTGAAAATATTTTTAAATTAATCTCTCTGAAAGCTTTTTTTTTCAATACCAGTTATAATTAAAGATACGCAAATGAAAAACTCACTTTTATTTTTCTTTTTTAGGTGTGCCGCCAACAACAGTCGCTTTGCTGTATGTCGAGAGCAAAATGCAACTTTCATTCCAGTGAAAGACATCATCAACAGAGGAGAAGAGACCCTTTCATTGTGGGCGAATACACTTGTCCTGATCCTGTTTCTCCTCATATTCCGACTGCTGGGATATTTGTCCCTCAGGTACTTTCGAACCGCGAAATAAATCACTTGGACTTGAATCACTAACTCGGAGAAGAACTGACGAAGATTAATACTTCCAAAATGCAACACAATCTTTGCAATTATGTGTCATCACAATCTTGATATTTTGCGTGTAAAATACTTGTTAAAATGTTTAAAAAAATCTGAAACGCTATTAAACTCTCATATTCATCATATATGTTAAGACTGCAATCTAGTATGAAAAAAAAAAAAAAGTGATAAAAATCTAGTTGTAGGCAAGTAGAGTTGGACGATCCGCTCCCAAAAATCTGAAAGAACCGTTTCCTTTACTGAGTGAATTTACTCCGATTCCAGAAACTAGAGTTATAGCTCTTTTACATTTCAGTACAATGTTGCCAGAACTTTTCAACTAAAATAGCAAACAAAGATTAAAAAAGTTGCCAAAAATCGCAAATGACGTCAGGGATCACATGACTTTTGTGACGTCATAGTTTCGCGTGTTCACATGACCTCTGACCGTCATCACAAATTTCCTGTCTATTGGTTTCGTAAGTTATCGACTGTATTCGATTCTTAGTCATTTTAATTACGTATCTTAGCTTTAAAGAAAATTTTAAAACTATATTGCTCATTTTCAGTTGTTTAAATGTCCATTTTTTAAAAATTTAATTCGCATTTAATTTAGGTCCTATTTTTAAATTAATTTGTGCATACCCGTTCTTAAGAGATTTCTCACGTTTACATTATTAGCGTTTCTGTACTAAATCTTTTGGAGTTGCCAGTTAATTTGTCTATTTTTCTTTTCTTTCTTTCTTTTTTTTTCTTAATTGTGAACATTTTAATTGGGAATTGTTTTTAAGCGGTTTTCGTTCTGCATGGTGGGCTTATTTCAGATTCTGATTACTTAAGAAAGCCTTGTTGTTTCACTGTTAAATTTATTTTATTTAACTTCAGACAGAGGTTTTTTTGGACGTCTGCCAGGAATAGAAATCTGCTATTTAATCAAGACTAATTCACTTTACCGAGTGAGTTTGTGCCTGATTAGCGAAAAAAGAATGGAGTTCTTTTCAGAAGGGTTATCAGTTTCTATTTTAGGGGAGAAAAGAACGTTTATCCTCAAATATTAAATAAGAGTTTAATTTTTATCGTTTCCGAAATTTTTATTTTAGAATTTTACTGTTAGTTCTCTGTAAAAAGATGGTTTTAAGGAACTTCAAAATTACATTAGAAAGAAATCAGTTCATGGATTCGTTTGATAGAATCGATTCTTCCTATTCAAATCCTCGTTCCATTCATCTCGCTCTTTGTTAGCCAGTGCCGATTTCACTAGTTGTTTGATTCTTTCCCCTCTTCTTGCTTCACCCGCCGTTCAAGATCTTTTAGATCAAGGTTATTATTAGTAAGTCACACACAAGTAATATAAAAAAAAAAAAAAAAAAAAAAAAAAAAAAAAAAAATCTGAAATGTTTCAGATTTTAAATTACGTCCAAAGGGGCGTTTTTTAACATTTTGTGTGTTACCTTTCTTTATTAAATATCAGCAATATCGCAAAATAGTTTTAAAACGAGCATATCTTTAGAATTTCCGATACAGAGACTCACGCGCTGGAGATAAAAATGTTTTTTCTGCACAACGTTGCCATTGCTCGCTTTGAAATCCTTGAGTTTGTTAATCAAAAATGCGTCAGAGTTTTAAAAAATAGGAAATCGATCATAAAACAAATTTCAAATTTGGTCTTCCACATGCTCATATTCGTTGGAGGATTACGTTATTCAAAATTCGATGACTCTATGTACCGTTATTTTATGACAATGTGAGAAATATACATACATTTACGCAGATTTTCATTATTTAATTTCTTCAAATATAATGCAGGACTCTAACATTTTATGGCAACAGTTTGAAAAGTGAACCGACATTTATCCGTCCGACGCAAAATGCCAAAACGAAACTAATAGTCCTTCGGGATTCAAATCCCTTTGGACTAAAAATTAAATTCCTACTTAGGCCAACAAAGAAAAATTTAAAAAATAATAATAAATAGATAAAAAAATACAAAATATGTGAAGAAACTGTATTAACATCGTCTTCCACTACAAGTTTAAAAAAAGTATTTGAACTTGAGTGGATGAATAAAAAGTATTTTATTAGAGACTGAAAATTAATTAATTAATAATTTATTAAATAAAAAATGTTTTTAAGCTCAATTCCTACTTAGGTTAAGAAAGAAAAATTTTAATTAATTAAAAAATTTTTAATATGTGAAAAAACTGTATTAACATCAAGTGTCATCTACTACAAGTTTAAAAAAACGTACTTGAACTTGAGTGGTTGAATAAAAAGTATTTTATTAATGACTCAAAATTTGAACAAGATGAGCTAATAGTAGGAATTTAAAAAGAACGGATTCATTTCAGTGAATGAAACTTTGATTCGATTGTATAAAAGAGCAGCTTTGTCAATCTCTACTGGTCAGCACATAATCTCACATCAATTTCATTATTTAAGTAGCAATGAGCTTTATATCAAGTATCACTTCCAGCTTATTGTCTGTAAATAAAGTCTGTAACTGGTTGCTCCAAACAGCATACTGGAAATATTTGCTGCTACTTACATATTAACACAACCACCTAGGTGGAATCTGATGAATTTTTACAGATGGGGGGCAAAAAATGACGACATCAGCCGATTCAGCTTCAAAATCTATATATTACACAATATGTTTCACATTTTAATTAGATATTTACTCCGAAAATCAACAATTAAATCTATTTATAAGCTGGTTATTTACTTCTTTTATTATTGTGGAAATCAGTGCAAGATTTACGTATAAGCTACACATGCTATAATAGTTTAGGGCCTTATCAAGTCTAAATCCGGCTGTGGTGGAAATGTGATGGCGATTACTTTACCAGACGGATTCGGCAGTGATTTTGCAAAAAAATACCATATTTCTGTAGAAATTTTGTCACAGTTTTTTTACATTGCTGGCAAGTTCCTCTATTGCATGTTTTAACATTAAGTGAGAAAATATTAATTAAGGGAAAAAGCCATTGAACTTATGGAATACAACAAAATAAACACACACAAAAATGGTGCCATTTCTTGATTGAAGAACTGTTATGCATATGGTTGCCAGAATTTGGCTAATGCTGAAAATTTTGGTGACTTCTACTAAAGAGTAGAAGAAAAACTGAAAGAAACCGAAATCTTTGTTTCCCCTTTTCTTTTTTTTAAATTAGTTTATTAAATTCTTTTTTAAAAATGTCATTTTATTAGGCAGTTGAATGACATATGTATAATTTAATTTGTTTTTAAATAAAGTCATATTTACAATATATTTAAAATTAATACTTTGAAACGAATACCATAATTTAATTTTCTTCTGTTTTTTTAATCTTTGTATTGTATAGTAATGAATAATATTTCTTTAATTAGTGACTTGTTTCTAGTCATTGATGTTTGATTCTTTTGTTATATCAATTAAATTTCCCATACTTTTCTTCTGTAATGGTCTTGCCGAGAAAGTAACTAAAAGGCTTCTTCAGTTGGTGAATTGGATGTCCTTGAAGCATTTCACATTCACAAAAATTTTTCTTGAATTTAACTACAATCCAATCCTCCAAAACACTTCTAGATGTTTATTAACTTATTTTCGTTTTTAGTATTTCTGTAGACAGATGGCGCTACCTTCTCATTTGCTTTGCTTCTGGTGTATAAATAAATACAGTTGCAGCTCTTCCTTTTGTTGCATTCACAACATTGGCAAGTTCTGAGCTAACAGACTACTAGGTTGAAGGTTCGATGCCCAGCCATGTAATTTTCTTTATTTGTATATAGTATTTTAATTATTGTATATTTTATTGAATCTGCTCGATCATTGTAATTTTTGGATTATTTCCACACTCGTCAAGTACAGAGTCATCTATCTGATTCATTTTTAGCTTTGGTCCTTTATGGTCCCTTCGTTTCTTTTCCTATCCTCTGATTTCTCTTCCGAGATTATATCCACGTTCACAGTTCATTACGTCATGTGCCTTCGGACTTCATTTCATCGGCAACGATGCCGGTTCAGATTTTCAGCCTGGCCATAACAACGAGTCTAAGTCCTTTTCTTGCAGAACTTCTTTGCTCCCGATAAAGAAGGTCCTGTATCTGTTCACCCTCGAAGCTAAGCTGATTTTATTTTCAGCTAAGCAGAATTTGGCTAATGCTGAAAATTTTGGCGACTTTTACAAAAGAGGTTGCACTAATGCAGCGCAACCTCTTGGTTGTCGGTGCAACAGTCTTGGTTAAAATCTATGCCAAACTCAGGGTTGCCAATTTGCATAATATATGTTTTACTTTGGCATTTCTCTTCTCCCTTTAGTTAAATTCCATTGTTATTTTAAATAGCAATTTTTTCCCTCATTATTTAATGTTATCATTTGGTTAATATTATCAAGATATCTACAGACAGATGTGATCACATCAAGTGGTAATAAAGTTCTAATCAGTTAGATCATTCACACATTGAAAGGTTAAAACTAGATGCACATCAAACTGAATTCCTTTATGAGCTATAATAAGAGATTTTTAATCCGCTTTCAGCCATTAATTTTGAAGGACAAATAGGAGGTAGTATATTATAAAAGCTTTTCAGTTGCACATTTTACTTCAGAAAAAATGCTTTTAAATTCTCTCAGAATCATTTTAAGATCCAAACAATTTTTAATCGCTTTATCAGCAGTTATTTAAAAACTATTTCAACAAAAGTTACAAGACTACCAAATCATTCCCATATCAAAATTCAGTTGTAAACCTACAGCTATTAAGCCCCCCCTTGTTGAAGGATCACAATACAAAATGTCAACACAAATAAATGATTAACATTTATTGCATTCAATTTAAACAGCTATAATGATTTGGAAAACAAAATATATTAAAACTGAAGGAAAAAACTTGCACATCTAGAAGACAAACATATATCTATCTATATATGACTTTTTAAAGGTTTTTAAAAAAGTTTTTAGCTTTTATATTTTCGATGGGAAGGATTGCCAAACCATTAAATCTTAAAATTATGCAAAACAACAACTTTATTGTTAGTGTAGATTTTAATTAAGACATTTTCGTTTTCAATGGCGAACACGATGAAGACGGACCTGCCCTCATTCGCCATCGGAATCGACAGTCTTAATTAAAATGTATGCCAATTACAAGATTGTTGCTTTGCCTAATTTTCGGCATGCTTCTCTTCTCTCTTTAAGTCTGACTTGGCCTGTCATTGGTTGAAGATAGCTTTTAATCAACTTCAACTTTTAAAATCTTCTTTCACAAGCAACTAAAATACAGATCGTCAAAAACGTCTTTGATTTCAGATATAAGTTAGGCACCGATTCTTGGACATCTATTTCCACACTACTAATTAACATTTCCAACATAGACAACTTTTTAGCTTTGTCCTTTTTTATATTCCTACATATAGGTACATTGAGAAAAAAAAATGGACAATTCTATAGCTCCTGTTCTACTGCACTGATTGATGAAATTCAAATTGAGTGTATCATGTTTCAAAAGTGCGGCTTAGGTTATGTATTAGATTTATATATAGCATTGTTCTAATATAGGTATTTTGACCAAAAATTGGGCTTTTTCTGAAATGACATGCCAATCTTTTTCCATATTTCGATTCTATGACCCAAATTATGCCTAAATATTAAACTTATAGAGAAACTAAAAAATTTATTTTGGTGCAGTTTTTTTAATCTTGCACCATAAATAATTCACCTGGTGAAATTCTTAATTTATAGCAACCTTTTTTTTCTTTCCTTTATTTCACTGTAAACAAGCAGAAAAAAATCATCATTCATTATTTCAAATAATTTAAAGTGCATAAACCACATTTGGCGTTATTATCACTTATAACAAATATGCCAAATTTCAAAGTGCTGCAGTATGTAAATTCACGTATATCCTAGAAAATTTTGAATAAAAAGACTGTAATTTTTTGTAGAATGCTTAGAAATGCATCTACTTTAGGATGATAGTAAAAATTTCATAGCTTAAAATTCAAATTTTTTTTGAAAAATTCATAAAATTAATCTCAAAAAATGGGCAAATTTTATTTGGAATGAACCTAAATTTCAAATTCTGGAAAAATGAATAAAGTAAGTTTAATAAAAAAAGAGATATTAATAAATATATATTAAATTCAATTAACACGGAGGAGCTAAAATTTTGAGAACTAATTTTTTAAAAATTACTCGTGCGATTTTTACAAACCTTGGCATAATTGGAGTCGTAAAATCGAAATATGGAAAAAATTGGTATGTTATTTCAGAAAAAGTCCGATTTTGTGTCAAGATACCTGTATTATAACAATGCTATATATAAATCTAATAGATATGCTAAGTCTCGCTTTCAAGACATGGAAAACACAAGTTGAGTTCGAACTGTTCGATATTTTTTTGGTGTGTGTGTGCAGTTTACATATACTTTTAAAGTTCTTTATAAGCCCCCTAGACCAGGGGCCCGAGGAAATACGGCCCTTCAGTTACTTCATACTTCTCAGGACAGAGCATTCATTATGCAAAGATTATTTAGGTCTTTTTAAATATATACATAGCAATACTGAAAAAATATACTACTTAATTTCTTTTTTTTTATCGTTAACAATTAATTTTCTCTATATTGATTATAAAATTTGTATTTACCATTTCAAAACTAGTGAATTAATATAAATTATCTGTTCCATAGCAGTTTGGTTCCATATTTTACTCAATTAGCAAATGATAAACCCGTTTCCTCCTATCCTACAAAAGTACTTACATATTATCACAATCACCTTGGTAGAAATTGCCAAATTCTGGTAACCATGTGCAAGAGTTTTTCTATTTTAACAATCAGCACTCACATTTTCATATTTGTTCTGTCTACTGCATATTCCAACGGCTTTTACAGAAAAATTATGATTGTTTTTGTCTTAAACTTGATTTTAAAATCTGTGCTTGTCAGACAGAAGAAACAAGAGTGAAATTTCTGCAGGAAAATCAATAAAGAAACGATATTTCGAATTTCTCGTCACAATTTAAGCGATCCCCATGAAATTTCAACTGAAGTAAAAGAAACAAAACTCCTCTTGGAATAAGTAAATTTATCAATTTTTTTGATTACTTGTGTATTAATGCCAGATCAATTTGGAGATTTTTACATATGAAAAGGTACAAGTTACTTATAGGGTGCAATTTCGTAGTTTTTGGTACTTTTAAAAAACGATTCCATCGATAATTATTGTAAATCAGCAAACATTACCAACATACGGAATGCAAACACATTTTAGCAATTCAAAATACGAATTTTTGTTATTAAATAAGGATTATGCTAAAAAATAAGCGCATTAGTCTCCAAATATTTCTGTAACTTTTTTTTTACTACTACTCTCTCCAAATACACAGTGATCTGTTTTCGCTTAAAAAAATGTCGGATAACCGCAGAGATTTGGCATCCAACAGACCTCGGTTAACCATTGAATATATCGATCTCCTTGTCATCCTTTTTAGAGATTTAGCAACAAAATTCTGTTTTCCTGCAGAAATTTTACCAGTTTCTTTAAGGGGTAACCCTATATCGACAATGTTAAATTGGCCATTTTCAGTGTACCTTTTTTCAAAATCTGCTGTAGATACACGTTTGAAATTTTCGTGTAATTAAAGTATATCTATCTTATTATACTGAAACTAGCTTTTGAAACATTTTGAATTTTAGAGTAATTTACAGAATATTTTGTTAGGCGTAGTAAAATTTAGCACTTTTCTCACACAAAAATTTTTTAAAATTTGTTTTATTAGTTTATCACAAAAAGCTCGTTTCAGTAAATATTAGGAAACATAATAAATAAGCCATAAAAACTTTAGATACCTGTAAGCAGTAGTTCCTGAGAAAAGGTACATCGAGTATAAAAATATCATGTTTGGAGAAAAAAAGTGTTTTTATGTATAAATCCTCATTTATCAAAGCATTCGATGACAAATTAAACTAAATTTTTTACAGTTCTAATTTTCATAGAAATTAAAGAATGGTATTTTTAGAAAGCTAAAAGTGTAGAGAATTTGAATATGCAAAAATCCGGAATCACCATTTTTTTGAAGATTTTTGCCTTCCAACGCCAATTGTTGATAAATTCCATTTGTTTCCAATGCATATTTTAAATAATAAGTTTACAGAAAAAAAAAATCACAATTTGTTCACTGTTGGGATTTGGAATAAAACAAAAACAATGCATAAGAATTTGCTTGACTGAAGGATTGTTATGACCAAGGTTGTCAAAAGAATGGTTATGCATATGATCGCCAGAGTTTGTCACATTCTGAAAAGTTGGCGAGTTCTGCTAAGGTGGTTGGTTGCATTAACATATAATTACAATGAATTAACAGAAAATGCCAAAACTTCATGAAAATAGTTCAGCAGTAGTTTCTGGAAGAGATCTATTAAGAACAAAAAGCCAAAACAATTGTTACACATATAGATGTATATGTAATCATTCATGTATCTTGCAGTAGCATAATCATAAGCTTGTATCCTCTTTCCTAAATAAATTATTGTGCATTCACCTGTTCACTTTCTCAAACTGTCATCATCCATTTTAGCATAAAGTATTTGGGTTTTGTGTTTTTGTAAATGCAAATATTTTGTAAGAATATATTCTAGTGTAATTATATGATTTTTATTATTTGATGTCAAAAAGAACTGTATCCGTTTCCTATGTACAATGAGAAAAACAGTGTATTGATGATGTTTCCTTCAAACTGTCTGGAAAAATAAGACATCTGTAAAAATAAACATGTTTTGTTATTCCATAAAATTATATTGAAGTACATAATTTCTACAATCACAAACATTCTGTTTTAAAAAGTAATTATTAATTATTCACACGATGTTATCAAATATTAATCCTTGGAATATGAGTAATATAAAAATAATAATGAAATTATGCAGCCCATTTTCAAATTTTGCTTACATTATGCTGTCCCAGAAGAAAAAGAAAATTCGAGATAAATTAACATTTAAAGTTTAATTTGAGCAATGCATTGCACAAAATGACTATAAATATATTTCTACAATTTAAAATAAAAAAAATTAAACCGAAAATTTTTAGATAAAAATTGTCATCAACTTCATGTCGAGTCCGTTACCTCAAGATTATCTTACCCCCAACTAGTTTGTAAATCTGCCTAAACGGGGGCAGTACATATTCAAAGTAGTCAAACTTAGCTCGACTAGTTTATATATGTCACTGAATAGGTACTGCTTGTTTTAAACAGATTTACAAACTAATTTAGGACAAAATAACCTCAAGGTAATGGAAGTTGAAGACAAATTATTTTTCTATCAATTCGTTAAAGAAGAAGGAAAAAAAAAAAAAAAACTTCTGTAATTAATTTTTATCATGAATATAACATACTGATTGTTAATATTTAAAATAATTAAACTTCTTTATTTAAACAATTAAATTAGGTTACAAAACAAAGAGGTCGAATAACATGAAACTAAAAAAGAGACAGGCAGTTTTGCCTATCATCACACATTTTATGATTTATAACTAAAACATTTCAATTAATTTTTTTTTTTTATACTTTGAATGTAGAAAAATATTTATAGTCATCTTTATGCAATGCATTGATCAAGTTAAACTTTAAACATAATTTATCTTGAATTTTCTGTCTTTACTTCTGAGACAGCACATGTAAGTAAAATTTGAAAATGTGGCATGCAGCAAAGAATTAATTTTACTATGCACGTAAATTGACAAATTTCTTACATAAATTCTTAGAATATCTTAAAAACTGATTTAAAACTCAGCATTCAGTTTAGATACGCAGGAGGATTTCATATAAATGTTATCATATGGATATTGCTATTGAACTGCCAAAGTCCTTCCTGTTTGTATCCGAAAACGTGGAAAATACTTGCCTTATTGTGACCAACAATTCAGTTAACAGGATGAAAGTATTACCAAAATTCAGGGGCGGGGGAAACTGAAATATTAACAGATTTTAACTATCACCCAAGAAGGCTCTCTTAACCCTTTCACGACGGCACACCTTCGTTCAAGACGCTTGTGCAGGACGGAGGTATAGCATTGCTAAGCCTAATTTTATAAAAAAAAAAGTTTCACTTCTAGCATCGTAATTTTTGGTATCATTTTAGATTATTACTTGAGCTCTTAAATATGTTAAAATTAGCACTTTTAAAACATAATGTTTTTTCTTTATTTTACATGAAAATATACTTAAAAAATTGCTTATCTTGTAAAATAATTTTTGGAAGTGCTATTCAAATTATTATAAAGTTTTAATTGATAAAATCCACCAATAAAGTTTAAAATTAATAAAACAACACAATAAAGACTAGTTGCAGTAAGAAGTAACAAAATTTAAAATTAAGATTGGGTGTGGTAAATCTCAAAGCACAAAGATGTATCACTTTCTAACTGTTTAGAAAATGAATCATCTGCATTAGTAAATAGTTCATTAACCATTAGTGGGTACTCTTCCTCTGATAAACAGCACCTTCCCACCATAATAGACTGGAGGTGAGGCTTTCCGAAATAAAAAGAGAAGAAACGGAAATACAGCTGAAGGCAAATATATCAAACTCAAGTCAGGAACTTACAACTGTGTTCACTTCAAAAGTAATGGACATAGGATGCCTTCTAGTGGCCTTCAGAAAAATGTTTAAAATGCGTATACGTATCGCCCGTCCTCTGAATGCAATTTCTAGTGATACGCGGATGGGACGCCGGCTGTAAGAAACGTTTTTAGGGAATGCGTATATGGGATGCCCATCCTGAAAGGGTTAAAATTCAATACGGTTTATCAGTAGAAATTATCAACAGTCATGGCACAGGCGTTTTAAATTTTACAAATAAATGCAGGTATTTTGCAAATTTAAGCGTTCTCATTCTCTGAATACAGACACAAAAAAGGTAAATTGCGTGGATGTTAAAAAAAATTTCAGAACCTGGCACTAAAAAGCTGGAAGGGCAGGAATATGTGAGGAAATATGGTATAATACCTGAGTTCAGTGGGAGCAATCAACATTTCAAATGATACTCTAGATTGTCTCATGCCTAACTATTAAAATTAACTCATTTTGTAACATATCAGATTTACATATTTTGTTAATTCAAATCAAAGTACACTGCATGAACAAAATAAAAAAAGAGGAGAAGTTCTATATTTCCTGTTCTACCAGGCCAATTGACCAAATTCAACTTTAGTTTTTCATGTCTCGAAAGCGTGACCTAGGACATATACTAGATTTATATATAGCATTCTTCTAATATAGGTATTTTGACACAAAATTGGACTTTTTCTGAAATGACATGCTATTTTTTTTTTTTTTTTTTTTTTTTTTTTTGCATATTTCGATTCTACGACTCAAACTATGCCAAACATCCAAGTTTTGTAAGCTTTAGCTCCTCAATGTTAATTCAATTTGATATACATTTATTAATATCCCTTTTTTTACTTACTTGATTCCGTCTTCCAGAATTCAAAGTTTACGCTTAATCCAAATATAATTTGCACATTTTGTATGATTTATTTTTAAAATTTGTATTTTTAAATATTTTTGGAAAAAAAATTGAATTATAACCTATAAAAATTTTACCATCATCTTAAAATAGATGCATTTCTAGGCATACCTGCAAAAAATTAAGAGTTCTTTATTAAAAATTTTCTAAAATATACACAAATTTACATTTGAGCAGATTTTGAAATTTGGCATATTTATTGTAAGTGCTAATAACGAAAATGTGATTTACGCACTTTGTTAAAATTATTTGAAAGTAATGAACATGACCTTTTTTCTGCTCGTATGCAATAAAAAGAAGGAAAGAAAATTAATTAGAAAAGAAATTAAGAAGTTTGCCAAGCGAACTTTTGTTGGCACAAACTGAAAAAAAAATATGCCAATATTAATTTTTACATAAATTTTGTACCAAATTTTAGAAGATTTAATATTTAGGCATAATTTGAGTCGAAGAATAGAAATATGGAAAAGAAATTGGCATGTCATTTCACAAAAAGTCCGATTTTGTGTCAAAATACCTACAGTGTCTCACAAAAGTGATGGGACACTTGTGCTTTACAAAAGGAAACTAATAAAATAAATTAAAAAAACATGTAAAAATTTTTTGTGGGTGTGCTTCATACTTAAATTTAGTAACAATTATTACATAACATACATTTTCTCAAAATATTAATTTAATAAAAATACAATTGTTTAGAACGGAGCAAAAAATGGTTCACATAAGTGATTGAACACCATTAGATACTACTACGTACTATGCAACAAAAATCGTCTGAAGTAAGCAATAAAAATATTTTTTAGGGTTTTTATTTTCACTCAAAAGCAATTGGCAATAATTTATAAAATCGTTTGCAGTATTTATCTCCAGTTTGTTTTGGAATTTTGTGTTTTTTAGCTCTGTGCAGCCATGAATGCTAAACGAAAAGAAACTTTGCCTGAAATTCGAAAATTAGTTATTAATTTGCATATTGAACGTGGAAAATCTATTAGAGAAACTGCTGAAATAGTTAACCTGAGTCATTCAACAGTTTTCAATATCATTAAACGATATAAAAAGAATCATTTGATTCAGGATAAAAGAAGACCTGGCCGACCATCAAAGCTATCCAATGGAATAAAATGAATTATCGTACGAAATATTAAAAAAAAAATCCAAGAATGAGTGCTCCTGAAGTTGCTGCTGATTTAAAGCATTATATGGAGTAATTGTTAATCCTGAGACTATTGGAAGAGTAATTCGATCTGCTGTATACCACGACAGAGCAGCCAGGAAAAAATTCTTCATGAGTGAAAAGAATAGAAAACTCAGACTGGCTTTCGCAAAATCCAACATAAATAAGAATTCTGATTACTGGAATGAAGTTATATTTGCTGATGAGAGTAAATTTAATATATTTGGTTCTGACAGTGGAATCTTGGTGTGGAGAAAACCCAGGGAAGAATTTCGCAAACAGAACTTGTTGCCAACAGTAAAACATGGTGGAGGAGGAGTTATGGTATGGGGTGTATGTCGTCCGCTGGAGTTGGTAATCTTGCTTTTATTGACAGTATAATGGATCAGTACAAGTATATTGACATTTTAAATCAAAATTTAAAATCTTCAGCACGAAAATTGAATCTTCATAACGATTTTAAATTCTACCAGGACAACAATGACCTCAAGCACACTGCTTTGAACGTTAGACTCTGGCTGCTGTATAACTGTCCTGAAATAATAAAAACATCACATTCTCTAGACTTAAATCCCAAAGAGAATATTTGGCAAGAATTGGAATCAAGAATTCGCAAACACACCATTTCTTCAAAACAACAATTAAGAATGGGGTAAAATCACTCCAGAAATCGCAAAAAAATTAGTCGAATCCATCCCAAGAAGATTAAATCATGTTTTAAAAGTAAAAGGAAATCCAACAAAATATTAAAACCTTTTAAAAAGTAAAATTTTTGGATAAATATTTGATGGAAAAGTAAGTGTCCCATCACTTATGTGAGCCATTTTTTGCTCTGTTCTAAACAATTGTATTTTTATTAAATTAATATTTTAATATTTTGAGAAAATGTATGTTATGTAATAATTGTTACTAAATTTAAGTATGAAACACACCCACAAAAAATTTTTACATGTTTTTTTAAATTTATTTTACTACAGTTTCCTTTTGTAAAGTACAAGTGTCCCATCACTTTTGTGGGACACTGTATGTTAGAATGTTGCTATACATAAAGCTAATATATATTCCAAGTTGCGCTTTCATGACGTGAAAAAAGCAATTTGAATTTCGCCAACTGGCCCAGGACGGGAGATATAAAACTGTCCCATTTTTTTTTTCTTTCTTTTTTTGTCTGCAGTGTACATTCTTTTACATGAAATGAATGGAAATTGAGCAAGAAAACATGACGGCTAAAAAAAGCGTTTGTGTGTATGTGTGTCTACACATATTACATATAAATCCACTCGGAACACTATGTCGACAAAAGCCATTACACAGCCTTTATTTTCGCAACTGTTGGTCGTAGACGTATACTTCCAATTACATAAATACTTTAAATTGTGCAAGGATTAATCTTCTGGCATTTTTTAAATTTAAAAAAAAATTAATTTTGTGTAATACATGAAACTTTTACATGTTCTTCCGGCCCCTATACTTAAAAAAAAAAATTTGCACTCCTTATCAGAAATTAAACATAAAAAGTTTCATTTCTGTGCAATAAAAATTGATAGGTTTGGTTTATTTAATTATGGCAAAGCACTCGAAGGCCTAAGGTGGGGGATGTCTTCTAGGACTGCTAAAAAATATCAAAACTGCTAAAAATTTTTGGTGACCCCCAACTCTGCTCTAGAACAGGGTTTCTCAAACTGTAAATCACGGGACCTGCAACAATGGGTACCAAAAATTTTAGCAGTTTTTGATATTTCCTTATTATAATTTTACACAATGTATCTGAAAATGTTTCGATGCATTCTTTTTAAAATATAAACATTCATTTTCCTTGCTTTTCACGTGATGCTGTCATTTTGTCTGTTACTTATTTAAAATTTTCACATTGTTCTATGTCTTAAAATTAGAAATTAAAGTTAATGACCTAAAACTGCAATAGTATATTACAAGTGAAAAAAATCAACAGTTTCACTCACACTTGTGTCGGATTTGCGCAATACTTATGGGGTTCCACAAAAGTTCTTAAAAATATTATTGGGTCCTGGGAGTCGCGAAAAAAATCTCAGTGATAAAAGGGGTCGTGACTGAAAAAAAGTTTAAGAAACCTTGTTCTAGAACATGCTGGCAAGTTTCAGTAGATGTATGTAGGCAATTTATATTTGCATAAATTATAAATAAATAATATCTGTACTTTATCGAATTCTTACAAATAATCTCATATTTTAACTTTTCATTCTTTTTCAGCAACTGGTTGCATAATATTTGCTTTAATATATATAATGTAACAACTGCAAAGCTCCTACTACAGCAAGCATGATGCCAACTAAAGAGAGAAAAAATATAAAAGCGAAAAGACAAAATATTTTCTTTTTGTTTAATAACTCACGTAAATTATATACAGACAGCAATTACAAAACACGAAATACACAACTAAGCTTCGAAAGGTTAGTAAATCTTCTTCTGTAATTACCATAGTAAGATCCTGCAAAATGTAATTTAGAAATAAACAAAATGGTAAAGGCAAAAATAAGAACATTCTTTATTATTATTCTAAATATTTAATAAAAAAATACACAAATGCTGAATGTTCTACTGCTATAAAAGTACTTATGCGAATTTACAAAATATTAAAAACTTCATTAGAAATGTTTAGAATGAGTAAGGTAATGTCTAATCAATAAAAAAATCTGCATATCTGAGTAACACTGTTAACAAGGTAAAACATTATTATGCTTTTTTTTTTTTTTTTGCATGTAGATGTACTTTGTGAATGTGTATGTATGTACACTGTGAAAAAAAAAGGGGGGACAGTTCTATACCTCCCATTCTACTGGGTCGATTGACAAAATGTAGTTGCGTTTTTCATGTCACGAAAGCGTGACTTAGGACATTTATCAGATTTATATATAGCATTGTTCTAACATACGTATTTTGATACAAAAACAGACTTCTTCTACAACAACATATTTATTTTTTTCCATATTTTGGTTCTATGACTCAAATTATGCCTAGATATTAAATTTTGTAAAATTTGGTGCAAAATTTACGGAGAAATTCAAAAATTTATCACCAGAATTTTTTCAGTTTGTGCCAAGAATAACTTACTTCTTAATATGTGGCAACCAATTTCCCTTTTCCTTCCATTATGCTGGAGCAGAATAAGAGGCATCTCGTTCCTACATTTCTACACTGTGCATGAGCCGAAAAAAAAAGTCACATCGTTCCTACTTCTACATAATTTTAGCAGTGTCTAAACCACATTTGATGTTTTATCGCTTTCAACAAATTTGCCAAATTTCAAAGGGTGTCAATATATAAATTCACATATATCTTCAGAAATATTGAATAAAAAACTATATTTTTTGCAGGTATGCTTAGAAATACATCTACTTTAAGATGATGGTAAAATTTTTAGATTATAACAACTTTTGTTGAAAAATTTATAAAAAATCTTAAAATAAATTTTAAAAATAAATCATAAAAATGGGCGAATTTTATTTGGAATGAACCTAAATTTTTAAATGTGAAAGAAAGAATCAAATAATTTAATAAAAAAAGAGAGATTTATAAATATATACCTAAACACAATTTACACTGAGGATCTAAGATTTTGAGAGCTAATTTTTTAAAAACTACTCATGTGATTTTTACAAAATTTGGCAGTTTGGCGTAATTTGAGTCGTAGAATGGAAATATGGGGGAAAAAATTTGGATGTTATTTCAGAAAAAGTCTGATTTTTGTCAAAATACCTATATTAGATCGTTGCTATATATCTAACACGCACTGTAAGTCGTGCTTTCGATACACGAAAAACGCAAGTTGAATTTCATCAACCGGCCCAGTAGAACGGGAGATATAGAACTGCCCCCCCTTTTTTTGGTGCAGTGTACAGAATAAGAAGCTTCTGTACAGCTGACCTACAGAAAACTACGAAACGAACAGTCTAAAAAATGATTCATACCTTTCATCGACTGTTATTCTTTAAACATGAGTTCACGATTTTGACCAAAACTTACTACTGCCTTTGATTCTGAAAGCACAAAAATAATATTTTAAGCTGTGCCAACAGAAGCTAGTTTGTCAGCAGAAAAAACTCTGACTAACCTATCCAGATGTTAAAACTAGATTGTAGGAGGAGCTATGATTATAAGAAAGAGAATAAAAGTAGTTGACTGTTGCAAAAATAAACTTACAAACGACTACTATATCATTATGCGATATACGATTTTAGAGAACGCAAAACACTTATTATGGACAAGCAAAATCATAGTTACCCTTTTACGTTCGATTTCTTTTTCGAGGGCTTGTCCGGCTGCAGCACTTCTCTCATTTCTTCTACGGAATCCCCGTCCTGAGGTTGAGTTTTCATGTTCTTTTTAATAGCAGCAATCTGGCAAAAAAAAAAAAAAAAAAAGAGTATGAAGCTGCCGACAAGCTATTCATGTGCAAGCTACTATTTTTAGTTAATTAGTTACTTTATAAATGGCACTACTGAACTGCTAATCGTAAATATGGAAATAATCAGGAATAAATACATGAAAGTGATTCCAATAACCTATTTAATTTTGAAATACACTAAAGTTAAAGTTACTTATAAACAGTAAACTGGGGGGATTTTGGTCAAATTATTAAAAAAAAAAAAAAAAAAAACTGCCAAATCGTTGATATTTATCGCAATCCAGCACACATTATAAACATGTTAAAAAAAGAATAATATTAAAAATACAATTTATAATTAATAGAATAATGCAAATTGAAAACACAAAAATGATACATTATTGTTGTTCCTTCCATGTACATAGCAATCTGTTTTCACTTCAGAAAACATCAGAGAATAGCACAATTTCAGCATTATGTATGTGCAAAGAAAACGATAATTTTTCGCCTGGTGCTTGGGGGAAAAGACATGGTTCTTTATTATTTGTATCTGTTCTCATTTAATATGTGATTATTTAGTTCATTGTAACCATTATTAGCTCATTTATTTAAATAACAGCAAACTTTTAAATTAATGAAATTTTGTGATTGATAATTTTTAAGAAAAAATTAATGAGAACTGAACTTGGCCGCTCTAAAAACTCTAAAAAACTGCACAGTTGAAATATTTATCTTAAAGAAAGACATAACGTCACACCTTGGAAAAAGCATGAAACCTTTAACCATGCAAAAAGCGAAGTAGCAAGCTACGGTTAATCTGTCTAAACACCACAACTAGCCCTTTTTTACGTCTTCTACACATGCTTATCTGTAGAAATACAATTTGTGGTCCGACTAGCTAGCATCACTCTAAAAGATCCATCTAATTTATCCATCAGCGTGTTTTTTTTTTCATAGTGAAGATCTAGCTATATTTACAATGTCTTCATATTTTTATTAGTTCATTGTAACCATTTAGCTCATTATTTAAAAAACAGCAACTTTAAATTAATGAAATTTTTGTGTATAAGACATTTTTAAGAAAACATTATGAGAACTGAACTGGACGCTAAAAACTTAAACACTGCGCCAGTTGAAATTTCATCTTATCGGAAATGACCATAAAGTACGCTTGGAAAATGAACCTTTAATCATGCCAAGGAGGAGAGTTAGCATAGCTAGGATTTTGAATCATGTCTAACAGAACCACAACTAGCCCTTTTTTCACGTCTTTACACCTGCTTATCTGTAGAAATAGTTTTGTCCGATATAGCATCACGCTAAAAGATCCAGTCTAATTTATCCCATCAGCGTGTTTTTTTTCTCATAGTGAAGATTACTAGGCCTATATTTTACAAATGTCCTTTCAGTATTTATTTATTTATTTCAAATTTATACTTAACGATTGTATATGATAATTAATTTAACAGATTTCATCAGTGTTCGCAAGAATATAAAAGTCAAGATGAGTATCCAACCAATCAGTAAGAACATATGAATTCCACCAAGCATTTTTTATAATACATTATAACAGTATATTATCTAAAACATTTGTTTTAGTATTATTTTATACCTTACTGTTACAACGTAATACACTATAACAGTATATTATCCAAAACATTTGTTTTAGTATTATTGTTTTATACCTTACTGTTATAATGTATTACAAAAAAAGCTTGGTGGAATTCATGTCTTCTTACGGACTGGTTGGATACTCATCTTGACTTTTATAATTCATTTTAAATTTAGCAGCACTTAGTGCTAATTTTAACTTTTAGTACTATCGTACTTACTTCACGCTTCATCGACTACAGCTTATCTCTAATGAATAAATATGTGTATTTGTAATGAATAAAAAGTACTGAATAAATGCAAAGTAAAAAGCAATTTAAAACCTAATCCAGTTGCTCACTGATAAGCAGCAACAATTGGTGGTAATAATATATATACAGGGCGATTCTAAATTACTTTTACAAATTAAGAGGGGTGATGGTACTCAACCAGATGTGCAATAATTACCATAGGGTCGCATTCCACTCTGAGAGGCAAAAAAGAAGAATGTTAGAATTCCAATCTGAACTTACAACAGTGTTGGGAGAGAGAATGAACGAGACCAAAAGTTGCACAATGAGTTTAGTGACAAACTCACAGAGAGTGTGCAAAACGGATAAAGCCGAAAACCTAGCATTTGAGTGTTAATTCGAGCTCAGACTTTGATGGCAAACATTCAAATGCACATCTTTGGTTGGCAAGGTCTCAACCTCACAAACAATTGCAACAAATTAATTATCTAATCAAGGGCTGAATATTATCAACAAACTCCAATGTCCGCTGCATGCCGAGATTAGCATGAAAAGCTCACACTGCATTCCGGCTGTCAGAACTTCATGCTCATAGAAGGGCTCTTCAAGTAGAATGAGCGCAGCAGAGCAAGTCCAGGAAGACAGGATAGAAGATGGCCAAGAGAAAAACAACTGCTACCTTGATACTTAATATCAAGGTACTTTACCACCCTAATAATTTAGATAATTAACTTGTTGCAATCATTTGACAGGTTGAGACCTTGCCAACCAAAGATGTACATTTGAGTGTTAGCCATCAAAGTCTCAGCTCTAATTCATACTCGAACGCCAAGTTTTCGGTTTCATCTGTTTTGCGCACTCTCTGTGAGTTTGTTACTAAACAGATTGTGCAACATTTGGTCATGTTAATTCGCTCTCCCAACACTTTTGTAAGTTAAGATTCGAATTCTAATATTCTTCTTTTCTGCCTCTCGGAGTGGAATGCGACCCTATGTTTTATGGTAATTATTGCTCATCTGGATGAGTACTATAACCCCTCTTAATTTGTAAAAGTAATTTAGAATCACCCTGTATATATAGAGAGAGATGGAGGGAGGGAGAAAGAGATATGCATTCCCCCCATGTACACAAAGCACAACCTTTGTTTCCACACATTAAACATTCCATAGGTTGTATAATCATATTTATATATTCATTTTGCCAGTATTGCCATTTTTATATATCATGTATATAGTTCATATCTATTATTACATTATACAGGCTATATGATATATTACTGTTGTTCTAATATTCTCCAATATAGAAATATATTTGGTGGCAACAGTTTGAAAAGTGAAACAACGCAAAATGCTATTTTGGAGACTAATAGCCCTTTGGATCTAACACCTGTTTGGGCTAAAAAGCGATAGATTGCACACTTACATGATTACTGCTGCATTACTAAGATAATAATTTTTTAGAAATCAGGTGATACTCAAATATTATTGAAGCATACAAATTCAGTATTTGTGAAATGCTCTTTTGTTTCAATCCTAACACACATCCATCACAAATTCTCAGTACCATTCAATTAAAAAAATGTACCAGACATGAATTCAAGGTTAGTTCCAAACAGGACAAAATTACTTAACTTCAAACTCCCTCCCTTTTACATTAACAATATACTTTTCTCACACTGAAGTCTTTCATTTCACTTTTGCTCATAAAAGCAAACATTAAAAATTCAATATACATGACAGCTGTAAATATAGCAGTGGCAACACAAATAACCTAATTTTCTTTTAACTAAACCTAAATGCAAAATTTTATTGCATTTCTTCAATGCTATCACCAAAATGCCACACTTTTTTGCCAAGCCTCGAAAAAGTATCAACTCCTCATGAATGAGTTTGTTCATAATAATGCAGTTGTCCCAAATAGGAAACCCCGAAAGCAATTTTATGTGGCCCAAAAAGAGATTTCAATTATATATTTGTTGAGATTTTAATTTTTTTTTAGTATCTGAATTTACACAGTCCAGTCACATTAATGTGACCACCACGTACTTTCCATGTCAGAGTTAAATAACCAATCACAGAAGGCAGGTGGCAGCACAGTGCAGTTGAGCGTATATAAAGGGTGTGTGAGGGCTTCGGAAAACATTTCAATTGTTGGCGTAATGCAGAAACGAAGCGATTTATCCGACTCTTCCAAAAGGGCATGATCATTGGCTTTCGGGCCAAGGGTGGGAAGCATTTCCGAAACGGCTGAGTTTGTGAAAATGTTTGCGTGCGCCGTGTAAAAGTGTACCGTGCATGGCAAAGGGACTGTCCAAATCAGCGACGTGGCAAAGTGGTGCACCACGGGCCATAGATGACAGAGGCGACGGTTGCGGAGATGCGTTGGGAAAAATAGAGGGCTACCGTTGGCAATGACCACCCACCTGAACCAAGGGGCTACCAAAAGTGTCTCCCAAAGTACTATTCAGACAAGCATGCTGCGTCTGGGCCTCCGAAGCAGACGCCTGGTTCTGCACCTATGCTGACTGCTGTTCTCGCGGCGAAGGCTAGAATTTGCACGCCAGCAGCTGGACGTCCACTGAGTGGCGAAGGTTGCGTTTTAGGATGATCGCGTTTTATGCCCATCGGACAGATGGACGTGGCGTATAAGGCGTGAAACCTTGAAAGGAACCACCCTGCAACCATTGCCGGAACGGTCCAAGCTGAGGCGGAGCATTATGGTCTGGGGAATGTTTCCTGGCATCTCTAGGTTCACTGATCATTGTGGAAGGCACAATGGATCAATACAAGTACGCATTGTCCTTGCGGACCATGTTCACCCCTACATGCGCATTGTTTTTCCTCAGGATGATGGCATCTTCCGCAGGACAATGCGAGGTGCCATACAGCTGCCCGTGTACGTGCGTGGTTCGAAAGAGCACAGGATGAGTCCCCGGCCAGCAAATCACCTGACTAAACCCAATCGAGAATCTGTGGGACCAAATCTTGATTGAGTGTTCGCGCCATGGATCCTCACCGCGTAATCTAGCGAGGCCACGGCATAGAGTCGGCATGGCTCAACATCCCAGAGAACACCTTAGGGACCTATGTGGATCTCTTCCGCACGTCTCGCAGCAGACCGCTCTGCGAAAGGTGGTTATTCTGGCTTTTGACAGATGGTCACATTAATGTGACTGGACTGTGTATATTATTTTCATTTCCATTAAAAATAAACGTGAATAATGTGCCACAAAATCTATAAGTGGAACTAATTAAGAGTGTTATATAAATCTTACTCAAAGACTTCAATATACATATTTAATTAACCTTTACCCATACTCGTCAAAAAATAAACTTAATTATGAATTTTTGGAATAAGAATAATCACTTCCCTTGGGAATACATTTACATGTGCACAACTTTTATCACAGTTGAAAATTAATATCAAAAAGTACCCAACTGATCAATGAAAAACTATGATCCGTGATAAAGATAATGGTAGTAATTTCTCTTCCAGGGCAACAAACTTTATCAGAATCAAATTGCAAGAAATCATTGGAACTTGATCAGAATCGAAATGCCATCAAGTATACGTCATAATAAGACATAAAGAAGTTTACAATTACACACAAACATATATATTTTTATTTATGCATTGAAGAAAAAATTAATAAATCAGATAATAAGACTCAACTGACATTATTAATTCTTAACTTTTATCTCACAAAGTTTCCATAATTTATTTTGAGTTTAAATTAAAGTAGCTTATTGAATGATCAATGAAACATGTTAGAATTATTCGAAAGAAATGTCAGTCAAAGAATTTAATATTTAGTTGTCGATATATTTATGAATTACTGCGTGTAACCAACAAAAACGTCTACCAGGTACCAAACTTTAGATTTCAGAAACAAACTAAATATAAATTTGAAGTCTTTTCCACTGCATCATTATCATTATTGTTTATGTATGTTTTGATAAATATTTCTAAAAACTAAACTCAGTGGTGCAACAGTCCTAGTGGGCCAATGCCTGCAGTGTCCTGAAATCTGCTTTCTTGACCTTGGGCCTCGGAGTGAATCAGCATATGCCCTGAACAAGTGGTCAGCTTGTTGAAAGACCCCTGGTGTTTAGTCCCCAAGCGAACTTAAGATTTTGCAATAATTACTCCTAAAAACAACAAAGCTAATTAGTAACACATACTTAAAATGTCTTTTCCCACACAAGTACACAATTTATGATAACTACTACTAACTGAGCACAAGATACATATACTGTGGCAACGATAAGCACGACTCTCAAAATAATTTCGATGAGAGAGAATGCAGGCAATCTCAGAATTCATTTTATTTTTGTGTTTATAAATAAATAGGTTGTGTACTACACACAATAGCATAGTACGTAAAAAATTTGTAAATGTTCAAAATAAAAAATTGTGCTCTCCAAATCTGTATGCACATAAAGTTATAAGAATGGCCACGCATATTCATTAACATGCTGAATGAAACTGTTTTGTTACGGTAACTTAATAATAAAATCAATATAAATAATTAATAATTTTGTAATTATAAGGTAGTTTAAAAAAGTTACATTAAAGAAACTTCATTGTCAGAATTACCTCATTATCAATTTGCTGCTTAAGTTTGAGTTGATTTTCTTTCATAGAATTAGCTTTAAATATTTGGTTTTCTATATTGTTCAATATAACTTCACAGCTATCAGACCTAAAAGCAGAAAAGAATTAAGAATCAATTTACAGAATCTAATTTCTATAATCTTAAGACTACAAACAAGCCCCCGCTCCCCTCAAATTAATAAACAGGAAAAGAAATATAATACAGAAATAAACAAAAAATAAGAAATGTATTACAAAAATAAACTATTCAATATTAAAATAATAGTAAACACCCATTTCATGCAATCACTGAATTGACAAAGTTTTGCCTGTTTATATGAAAACATGGAAAACACATCCATATCATGATCAACAATTTGGTTAATGGTGATAAAAATACTATAGAATTAATTTTCTAAAATGGAAATTGCCAAATAAAGTCAAAATAGATTATTTGATTTTATAATTAAAACTTTATTTGATGTTATCAGTTTTAATAATTAAAACTGGCAAATGACAGGGAAATGTTCCCCTTGCATTCCCTAAGGGATTAAGTCATTAAACAGCAACTTTTAATTTTAATCAACTATTTAAAATTAAGCAAAAAACAGCAAGCTTAGTTTGGCATAGGTTTCAAATAATTCACTTGATTTTGAAAGCATTTAGACACAAGTTCCTCATCATGAGCACCCTCCGGCAAAAAAAAAAAAAAAAAAAAAAAAGAGAGAGAGAGAGAGAGAGAAGTAAGGTTTCAGATTTTAAATTACGTCGAAAGGGGTGTTTTTTTAACGTTTTGTGTGTTATCTTTATTTATTAAATATTGTGTTCTTTGCACTTAAACCATAAAATTCAGTTCAACAGTAATGCCACAAAAAACTTTTAAAATGAGCAAAGCTTTAGAATTTCCGATACACAGTTCCACAGGCTGGAGATAAAAAATTTTTTTTCTGTACAATTTTGCCATGGCTAACTTTGAACTCGTTGAGTTTGTTAATCAAAAATCCATTCAAGTTTTAAAAAATATGAAAGCGATAATAAAACAAATGCCCATATTTGCAGTAGGATGACGTCATTCAAAATTGGATGGCTGTAGGTACTGTTGTGTTATCACAATGCGAGAAACATACATATATTTATGCTGATTCTTCATTATTTAATCTCTTTAAATATAATACAGGGCTCTAATATTTGGTGGCAACAATTTGAAAAGTTCCACGCCATTTATAGTGATTCACCACAAAATGCCAAAATGAAAACAATAGTTCCTTCAGAGATAAGCTCTTTGGACTAAAAAAAAAATTCTGCACAATTTTCTTGTCTCATTTCTTTTGTTCCCGAAAGAAAATATATATATATATATAGAAACTCTACTAAGGTTGCTCCCTTTTTTTGTCTAATTTTTAATTTTACATTGGCATGTTTCCTTCATAGAGGGAATCCCTCCAAGTATTAAGATCATGGATTCAGTATGGATCAAACAATTTCAAGAAATGTTTATGAACTTTAACATTAAAGACATTGTGAACAGTCCATAATAAAACTTTAGCCTTTTCCTAATTAAAATTGATACTTAAGTGTTAACACAACTACCTTGGTGCAACATGAAAATTTTACTCAGACGAAAAGGTAAAATTTACCATGCATAACTCGTCATTTTCCTGATCTTTCTTAAAAAGATTCCCAAAATTGGCATTTATCACAAGTCAGCAAACTTATGAAAAGAAAACATATTTTAGCAATTTAAAATACAAACTTTAATTATTAAATAAGGATAACATGACCCATTTAAAAGTAAAACAATCACCTCTAAATCTTTCTTGAACTTTTTTTTTCTTTTCCTTTTTATCAATCAGACAACTATCTGTTTTCGCTTAATAATCATCAGATAATTACGGAGGATTCTCCACATTGTTACCTTTAGAGATTTTTGTGGCAAAATTCTGCCCTCCTGCAGAAAGTTTGCTGTACTGCCAACAAATTCCACAAGTTCATATTTTAAAAACAAGTTCAACCCTTTCAAACCTGACTTTTGCATGATTGAAATTTAACTATGATAGTTTAATTTAATGTTGACATACTGAAAGAAGTGTATGAGCTTAAAGTTTTTAACTTTTCCAATTTTCTGGAAATCTCCAGGGACAATGTGTCACAATAGTATTGTCAACTGGGACTATTTGTCCCAGACAGCGGTCGTCAACCTTTAGAACTTACCAGATCACTAGATATATAATTTTATATTTGGCAGACACTAATATGAATTAAAAAGTACATACATTTATGCAATAATAATCAGCAAACTACACATGTTTCGTTCACATTGAAAAATTGCATGAAAAGTACAAAAACCTTACCTTCTTGTACAGAAAGCTTCACAAAAAGCAAGAAAAACCGGCAAAGCAATATCAATAAACTGAAAGTGTTATGCCGACAATTTTTAATTACTGTAAACATAATAATCATTGCTTATTCAATAATAGTGCCATTGATCAACAGTCAGACTAAAACAAAAACAGAAACTTTCAGTGATGCAATTATAAACAAGAATGCAGATGGTTCTCATAAAAACCCATCAGGATGCCTACTGACATGGAGAAAAACTGCATTATTAACGACCACAATAGCATATGTTTGTAATTCAAAAGGAAAGAGAATTCCAGTATGCACTATCATTAATAACAACAGCATATCCATGGATGCCAACTCTCACTTTCATATGCCCCTAGATACACCTGCAAAAGTAGCTAAACTCAGAAGGAATTTCGCTAAAAAAAGTCGTTAAAATTTAAAAAAAAAGTATAATCCATATTCCATAATAGGTTTTGTTACTGGTCATTTTTAAAACTGAAACTTCATAAAAATATAAATAATGTCCCAGTTTTTCTGCAGACCATCAAAAAGGTTTGGGAGACCACTGGTCTAAGATATTTACCCTTTTTCAAATAAAACTATATAATATATAATGTGAATATTACAAAAACTAAACTCTGCCACATGCACCAGTTCACATACAACAAATACAATACATATATGTTTCTAAACATAAACATAATATATCAGGATGCAGTAATTTGATCACTGATGGGACATATTAACCCATTGTTCAATATGACTCGGACTATATATCCCACAAAAGAAATTTATTCAAAATTTCTTAAATCGGACATTAAAAAAGTCAAATTACTACTTAATAAGAACTATTTCATACTAAGCATGCCTTAGATATAATTGTACTTACTTTAAAATTTAAAAAAAAAAAAAAAAAAAAAATAGGCATCTTAAAATTTAAGTAATCGGCATGCTTAAAAACATAAGTGCGCCATTTGCCATTTAAAAGTGTTGCTAGGTTTCTTTGCTCAAATATTTGTTCCCCAATTCCTTAAAAACACTACAAACAAACAAAAAAACCACGTTTAAAAGTATGCTTTATTTAGTAAATAGCCATGAAATCTAAGCTTTGGGCTATATGTGGCCTGAGGACTGAAAGGGTCAAGGCAAAAAATATCACAATTTGTTTATAAAAACCACTGGAATACAATTTCTCAACATTTAATGTTATCAAAATAGCTCTGAACAAACATGATCATATTAAGTGCGGCTGCTGCAATATCATTTACAATCAATTCAATATATTAAGATAAAGTATAACAAAACATTTTTTAAAATTATTTTCACAAAATGGGACATCTCATTCAAATACTCTAGTCATAAGATTCTAAAGAAACTTAATACAAACCAATCCTGCAGCACTTGAACCACAATATCAACATCAGCTGGTTTAATATCTCTCCCTACAGTGTAGTCTACTTCTAATCGATTGTTTTTCTGATCTAGTTTGCCCCTGACGATGTCAGCATATATTACATCTATTATTAGATCCTCCAATTCTCTCAAATTTTTCATGTCCAGCTCTTTCAGGAGCTTAGAATATGGTATACACTGAAAAATAATACTCATATAAAATTCTGAAATACTTACAAAAATCACAAAATATTTTTCAATGGAAAAAAAAAAAAAATTCACATAAGATTTAGCAAAGATTCTCATACATATAATTACAATAGGTTAGGTTAACTGAATACGATAAAGCTGACAAGAGCTACTGTCAAAGAGGGAGAATGGCTTCATGGAGGACTTTCTAAGGGAAACTGGCTTGTATTCATGTTATCTATGAGAAAAAACCACCATGCATTCAGTGTCTTAACCATTCAAACACTGGTGGGGGATAAATTACCACAGGATTAAACACCATACAGAGAAATTTGACATAATTTGAACTTAATATATATATGTACAGTGGTTTCTAAAATTGTGGACACTTTTGGAAATTTTTATGTTTTTGAACTTTGTATGCTTATAGAAAATGTTACGTTTCGCAAAATACAAACTTGTATATATCATTTTAAAGAGAATTTATTACTGAATTCAATACAAAACACAAAATTCAATTATTTCCAATACAAAAACAGTTATATGTACTTTAATATAAATAAAAAACACAGTTATGAAGTGGTTTGTAATATCTAGCTTTCCTGGCCAATCACCGTTCTTGTTCTGAGAACCAATCAAATGTTAGTAACTGCCAGTAGAAGCTGACATCATGTTTACACTTAAAACAATTCATTATTTTGCTTTGTTCTGTAGAAGGAGGACCTGTTTCTTATACACTGCAAGTACAAGTAGGAATTTTTGTAAAAAGAAGCAATGACATCAAATAAAAGAGTAGATTGGACACCTAGAAAGAAATGTAATATTATTGTGTTACGAGAAAGTGGTCTTTCCTATGCTGAAATTGCAAGACAGGTGGGTGGTTCAGTGACTACATCTGGAGTCCGAAAGTTTTCTTTACGATATCAGGAAACAAATTCAATAAAAAACAAAGAAGGAAAAGGTCCACCACATCTATTGAAGACAGAAGAATAAAAAGACTATGTCTCCAAGATAGAAAAATTCATCAGCGACCATCAGAAGTGATCTGAATGATGCTGGTTTTTCTGTCAGTTCAAGAACAATCAGGAGAAGATTAACAGATGTTGGACTGAGAGGTAGAATTCCACGAAAAAAGCCCTATCTTAATTTTCAGCAACGCAAAAAAAAAAAAAAAAAAAAAAAAAAAAAAAAAGACTACAGTGGGCAAAGGAACACATTAATTGAACAGATGATCAGTGGTATATGGAGTGGAATAATATGTTATATGGAGTGATGAAACTAAGATATCGTTATTCGGTAGTGATGGGCGAAAATATGTAAGACATAGAATAGGAGAAGAGCTACATCCTGACTGCATTCAAGCAACTGTGAAGAACCCAGTTAGTGTTATGATTTGGTCATGCATGTCAGCAGATGGTATGGGTCACCTTCATGTCATCCATGGGACACTGAAAATACATTGACACTATTCTAGAACCAAAACTTCTACCTTCCATCAGAGATCTCTTTCACAACAATGCTTCGTTTATTTTTCAGCAGGATTCTGCTCCTTTCCACATGGCTAAAATATCAAAAGAGTGGTTTCGTACAAAGACCATTAAATTGTTGTCATGGCCAGGAAACAGTCCTGACCTCAATCCTATCGAAAATTTGTGGAACCGTTTGAAAACTCTTGTCCGAATGAGGCGCCCATCAAATAAAAGGGAACTAATTGAGGCTATAATTGTTTCCTGCCATCATGTAATAACGAAAGAAGAGCTTAAAACTCTTGTCAGCTCAATGAAACATTGATGTGAAGCTGTAATCAAAAATAAAAGGTACCCTACTAAGTACTGATAACTCACTGCAATCATCACTATCTAACGTATATCAATAACTATTATCGTTTAACTTTTTTTGTATTGCAAATAATTGAATTTTGTGGTTGTATTGAATTCAGTAATAAATTCTCTTTAAAATAATATATACAAATTTGCATTTTGTGAAACGTAATGTTTCCTATAAGCATACAAAGTTCAAAAACATAAAAATTTCCAAAAGTGTCTACAATTTTGGCCACTACTGTATATGGGGTAGTGGCCAAAATATTTCAAATTACTTCAAAACATCTTTCAAAATATAACTTACCAGTATGGATGCACACTTTTAAAATAATTCTACTTTAATTAAACTTAGGAGATAATATAATCAATTAATCAATACTGTTTAGGAAATAAATTATTATAATATATATATATATATATATATATATATTAAAAAAAAAAAAAACTACTACATTACAAAACTACTTGTAAAAATAGTACGATAAAAACTAAAAAATTTTAATAGCAAGCTATTTTTATAACATAAAAATCTAATGTATACATCACATGACTTCCTAGCACGGAATATTAAATTATACAAATCTTTCCTGTATTTCATTTAAACCTATTGAATTGAATTAAAACTACTTCGTTGATAGCACATAAAATACAACAGAATAAATGCACTCTTTAAAATTCACTACATTTACTTACCACAGCAACACTCTGGCGCTAGGTTCACTTAACAGCGTTACATCTCATTCATTTTATAACTTAGAATGCACAAAAATTATATCATCTGAAGAATTAACTTATCATTGCCACATGTTCTATTCAAATATTATAATAAATTTAAAACAATGTATAAAAGAAATTAGACAAATAAAAAAAAAAAACAGTTCTTATTGTGAAGCTTAGTTTCTTTACATTGGCAACAAATCAACTACTCTGCTAAGCTTCAAATGTAAAATATGGCTGCTATGGTAAAAAAAATTAGGCTTAGCCACAGTTAAACAACTTTGAAATTGTTGATAATTCCACAAATATTGCATGCAGGTTAACTAAAGGCAAAAAAACCTTAACCAGAAGACAAGAAAAACATAATTCAATCATTTTTAAAGGGAAAAAAAAAAAAAAAAAAAAGAGCACAGTTTACAAACATATAAGAATAAAGAAACTGAGCTCACTGAGCCCAGTAACAGAGCGGATATATATATATATATATATATATATATATATAAACAAGCAAGGTAGTTAGTACAATACTGTATGACTAATTTGGTCTAGATAACATTTTGCGCAATATGCTGCAAAATAAGTAAATTAGAAATTGTAGTAAGCTCGCCTAAAAGTTACCAGGAGCTGTGGCTCCAAAGTTCAACACATTTTAAGAAACAATGTCATTGAAGGGTGAGAAATATGCTACACGAGAAAGGAAAAAAACACAGTAAAATACTCAGCGTTGGAAACTAGTAAAGGCAAAAAATACAGTAAAATACCTATGGATGTGCCATTTGAAAAATTAATACATATCAAAATCAAACCAAGAGTACAAGTAAAACATTAAAAAAACAAAATCAAATAAAAATAGAAGGCGGAAAATGGTAAATTAGCTGAACTCGACTTCCAAACTGGCTTTTCAAGGGAAATTTCTGGTTTGAACGTCAAATCAAGCTGACCCCATTACGCGTTTCGCCGAAACAGACAATTGAAACTTTTTCGCTACGAAATTTTTTCATTTAGACAAAGTGTCTTGGAAAATTTATTAGTCTCAATTCTCTGTTCCAATTTCCCTACGCGTCCGCACAAAATGACACATTAAGGTGTTAAAATATGTAAAAACTATACCGATTACATCTTAAATCAAGACTAAAATAAAAATAAAAATAAATATAAATAGCGGTCTGCTATTAGTCCTAAATATACAAAAACATACGGGCTGGGCCTGCAAGCTTAAAGATTTATAATTTTATAGATTTTAGAAATCTAATTAAATTTAAAAGAAAATTAAGATGAAAACTAACATAGTGGGTCTTGTTAAGACCAAGAAAAAGTTGTAACAAAAGAAACAGAAAAAACTGACCTGTGGCGATGCAGAGCTCTCCCTCTTAAAACTAAGTGGAAAAGGAGTTGTAATTCCCTTCTGTGTACTTCAGTCATGTGACGTAAGTAGGGGAGAGCGATGTTCTGTGGGCATCAGCCAATAAGAAAAGACTGTCCGTTAGCTGTAACTCGTCTCTAATTTTCGAAGGGGGTAGGAAAGCTCGGAAAAACGTGAAAAGATTTCAAAATGGCGTCAGTCATGTAGTGGAAGAAAAAATGTTACTGAAAGTGAAAATGGCTAATTCAGCTAAAACTACTAAACTTGGCCACAAAAGCAAGAGTAAAAGGAAAAAACAGCCATTTGTTAATAAAAAGTCGTAATTCTTCAAGCTAGCGGGCGATCAAGCTACTATGAAAAACGAAAAGGCCCGATTTGTTAATAAAAGCAGTAAAATTGGCCATTATAGAAATTTAAACAATAGTATTAAAAGTAATGTGCCAAAATTGCGGAGGAAAGAGAATGTATAAACAAGAATTATCTGTACATTTTTTACATATATATATATATATATATACTTTTGGTTTGCCCGACTGCAACCAGAAAGGGAGGTGCACATCTACATGTTACAACAGTACCAGATACAAAATTTCAAATGTTCTGGCGCTACTCGTTTCTGAGTTAAGCAAGATGCATACGTACATACAAACGCCACAAAAAATTCTTCTGAATCATTTTAAATCAGTTTTATAATTCGTTTGGGGAAAAAGAGCCCTTTATTTTCTCCTTACCTACAAACGTCACACAAAAACATCATTAAATTGCACTAGACAGCAATCAAAATGAATATTTTCGTTGAAATATGGTACCTGGAATTTTTCGTGATTACACTACTTCCTTTACTTCATACAAGGAAGTAAAAACTGACGCTGTAATTGGAAACTACACTTGCTTTGACTAGTTTTGATAAAAACAGTAAGACAAAAACTAAAGAACTAATATAGCAAGCTGTTTTTTTAATATAAAAAAGAAAATATTTAAATCTCACTAAAGATTTTAAGCAACTCTCTCTCTATATATATATCCGACAAGTCTGCATCTCTTTCCATTGTCCAAACATAGCTACTCATTTTACCTGATACCTTATAAAATTTATTCAACTCTTA